GCGATTTTTATCAGTGAATCATATTGCACACCGATTCAAATTGAATTGAAAACTGATCTAATTGCCAAAAAGTGAAACGTCATAGAAGTAACAAAAGCAAAAACTTGTGGTTCAAAACGATGACATAATTTAATAGAAGTGATGAGTGAAAAGTTAAGAAGAAAAACTTCAGATTGAGGACTCAAAGTATAATTGAATCAAAAACGTATATAGAGTGAAGTGAACACAATAGATGAAGGTGTCCGAAAAGGGATGAGTCAGGATGGTCGTGGTTGACACCATCGGGACCACAATAAGGCAAACCTCGCCGCGCCTCGATAGAAAAAAGTTTCAATGGAGAGATGAACAATCAGTTGGTAACAAGTACGAGTAACGTAAAACAAATTGAATAGGAGGGAAAATAAATTAGAATGAAAATGTGCTTTTTCATTTTATTCAGTTTGATTTTTTGAGCCGCACATCAAAAACAGGTTTTTGTCTTTGCGAACAGAAACACATCATTAAATCAACAAGGACTAGAATTCGGAAGTTTTATGATGCGACACGGCAGAAAGTTCCAGATCTAGAGTTCAACACACCCGTGGAGTTCAAAACAGTTGCTGAAATAGAAACATCTGTGCAAGAAACAATTATTACGTGGGCTAAACTGCTCCATTATCCAATGTCTATGTTCCCATTATCCGTCACTTCTGCCCTCTCGAGAAAAACACATGCATGTTTTTTTTTGCTGACTGTTCAGAAACGATCTATGACGTAAAGACTGATATCGCATTATTTCAACTTGGGAATCGATTAAATTACGTATTCGATAATCCCCTTTTTTCAAACCCCACTGTACCTCAACTTGCTTTTCCCTTTCTCTCTTCCAGTTTTTTAAGACTCGTGATTGATTAGGAGTTGCATCATAAATCACGTAACCTGTGTCGCTGAAAGCAAAAACTAAAGGTTTGGCGAGCTGATAAAATTTTGATAAAAAAATTTTATTCGAAGTCAGCACTTCTTCTTAATACCCTAATGCCAGTGCAAATTTTTTGTAAACAAAATTTGGAGTACTGTACACCTTCTGCAACTCAAAAAAAAGGAACTAGATCAGTTGGTATCTTTTTATAAAATCTAAGGCATAACAACCAAAATAGGGTTTTCTGAAATATTTGATTTAGGGTTTTGTTGTGCTTCTCGTCGAGGCAACGGAAAGTTTTTGGAAAACGAAAGTGAAAACGACACAGACGTCCAACAGCTGAAGTCGTTTTGCAAACATCGAAGTGACCGGCTACCGTACGATGGGCGCGAGGGTCTCTGCCACAGTCGGAAACGGGAGCAACAAACAAGACAAGAATGGCTGAGGTCTTTTGCGAGAGGCAAAGAGCACTATGAGCATCTCTCGTTTCTCCGATATATATTTTCACACTGTTTGACCGGGAGGTGGCCGATACTTCAACAAGCCTTCCGAGCAAGAGCCACTGTCCATTTGATGACAGTGGCGCCCTCCCTGATATTTCTTTGCAATTTGTTAGAAGAGAGGGCATAGAAGATCTCGATGGGCAATTTTTTGAATCAGGTGTGGGGGAGGAAGAAAAAACAAACAAAAAATATTGAAAAGGTGGGGAGAAAAAAAACTATCGATGTTTGGAAAATACATGAAAAATCGGAGAATCACATGAAAGAAAGTCTGGGAATGGGAAAGTTGAAGAAAGCAAGAAGGGACTCAAGAACTCGTTAACGGTGATTTTAGTTATTGAAATTCTATTGTTGAGAGACTGAAAACTGAGAATACCGTAACCACGAGATAATACGGGATTGTATGAAGATTGTATGAAAAATTGTAAAAAATTGGAAATTTTGGCATCAAAATCCAAAAACTGGATTAAAAAGAAAAAAATCAAAACGTGACTTTTAGGTCCCTGGAAACCAAATGTTTCATAACATGACTCATTTGCAAGGAAACACTGATTGCAGAGATTAAGAATGACGTAACTTTAGAAAATTCCAGACACAAGTTTCAAATGATTCCAGAAAACATGACCAATACAAAATGGAATTTGGAAAAATCAACCACATCAACCAGACCAAAACATGGAAAAATTGGTATGAATGCTCTAAAATGAATTTCAAAATAGTGCATAATGTTTTTCGAGAGCAATGACATTGTATGCCTCTTGCTCAGTGTCGTCCAAGACTCATGGAGTCCCCCTGGCTTTTCTCCGTAACCGGCTGCGACGACCGGCGGCAGCACAAGAAGCACAACGAGAAAAAAAAATTAATTGTGGACAGACCCGGAGGCGGTGCCCTCCGCGCGGCTACCGCGCACTCTTCCACCTGAACAGACTCTCGCATCAGCTCTCAATACGGGGCCTGTTTTTTTTGTTTCGTTTGGCTTCAGGTTGACATGCATGTGGACGGAGGACAGGAAAAAAAACTGAAAGGTGGTAGGGGTGAACCCATTTTGAAATAATTTGAATCATGAGTAACACTAAAAAGATCCACAGAAGTTAGAAATGTTAGAGTGACTGAAATGTGAATTTACTGAAAACGTGATTGATTACGGGAAAAAAAACTTCGAACTAATTTATATTATTTTTCGTCAAAATATTAAACAAATACTTTCTCAAAAATTTCGGTTTTAGTACCGTAATCCGTTGAATCAATTACAATCACAGCACAATACCGTGAAAAATCTCAATTCGGAGCTGAAATGAAAGATTCTTATAACAGGAGTTACAAATGCTTAAATGAGTAAGAATTTCAGTCTGAGAGGGAATTTACAGAACAGTGATTTTTTCCTGAATAAAAAACGAATTAAATTTATGATATTATTTGGGATGAATTGCTCCAACTTTTGATTTTGATTCTGGAAAAACAAAGTTCAGATCGCCTCCAGCGAAGTGTATCTTTTTGAGAAGTTTTTCTCTGAATATTCGGAAAACCTTTTTCCGAAAAATTCCGTTTTTTCACCGTAATACTTTCAAACAGTCATATATCATCAGGAATAGTTTCAAAATGGAGGTATCAAAATATTTGAGTGTCACTCATCATTTAGTCCATCACATTCCAAAAAAAACAATTCAAACTGATAAGTACAATAATGCAAATGGAATTTGAAAGAAGAGCGGAAGAAATATGTTCAATCGTAATAGTGCTATCTGGGAAGTGTTGGTCATCATTATAAAAAACAAAGAACTATCTCTTGTATCTTTTGGGAAAATGGGATCACTAACTGTACGGACATTCTAAGTGGGGTGGATCGTAGATGAAACAGTATGCCAAATGGATTCGGAAAGAAGTTGGCAAATGAATTTTTGGAATAAGCTTGTACCAGGGATCAAAGCTAAAAGTGAGAAGAAGTTTCAGTTTCAAAGAAAAATGAAAACGGAATCGAAAATAAATTATAATCTTGTCATAGGTCAATCTTCTAGATGTTGCCCGAAAAGTGGCACTCTTCACTCATTCCCTTGTATTTTACCTCCCTCTCTCTCTGTTCCTCTCTCTATCAAGGGATCGAAAGAGATGAGGGGCCGATTTCAGGTGAAAGTGCTGGCGCGGTGCGTCACGAGAAAAGTGAAATGAGTGAAGAGCGAGGATCCAGGTCATTGGGGTGGTGGCCTTCTCTTTTTCTCTCTCGGGACGTTTTCCCGAAGAAGCTGTGTGTACGATCTGCTTCTCTCTTAGTTAGTCGTTCGACCCGTGCGCTTCTATCTCTCTTCTTCTGTCTTGATCTCTCTTTTTACCTCATACTGAAGATTTCGGAGTGTCGTTGTCAAGACTGGGATTCAGAGCGAGAAAAGACTGTAGGATGAGCGAGGATTTTCTTTACCGACTAGTTTACTTTCATTTATTTTTGCCGGAGATCCCACAAGGAAAAAAAAACACACATATTGGAAGACGGTGAAGCAAAGATGATGTACACATCATTACTGAATGAAAAGAAACGTGTACATCGCGGGGGAGGACTGATCAAGAGGGGGAGTATTATGGGACGCAGAAGCTTAAGAAAAAACTAAAAATGAAGGGTTCTCCTAAATTTTGGTTGTCCAAAAAAGAAAAATGAGTAGGTAAAGGTTTTCGGTAATTGTCAGGTTTGTAACTCAAAACAAGACGCGAAAATTCAGGATGCAAAAAGGAAAGTTTCTCCTGCCTGACTTTTCCATAAAACATAGAGAACCACCATTCGGAGAAGAAAAAGGAAGAAAATGGGAAATGAAAACAAGAGGAATGGGAGAACCGAAGAAAAGAGAAAGGAAAAATAGGGCAATTGATACTTTTAAATCATATAAAGCACCTAAAAACTACCATCAACACCCAAACGCGAAAGTGCATCATCATCTTCATAAAATTCAAAATAGAAATGAGACGACAGAATTCACTGATACCATCAAATTGGTGAAAGGACGGGAATAATGGATTGTATAGGGGTCAGGATGAATATCATTTGTTTTCAATGAAAAAGTGTTGCAGGTGTATCAAAAGCTAGAAGAGTTAGATTATAATTCACTGGATTACCAGAAAACTAGTGAACGTAATATCAAACGTTCTAACCCCTTTTATCAGTATACGGTACCGCACAGAACATGCCACAGTTTTTGTTTTTCAGTGGAAGAGTCATTTTTGAAATCCTGAAAAAATATTAGTGAATACTTTACTCCTCTAAGAAATAAAATGAAAATCATGTTTTGGGAGCGACCCCTTTTTATTTCCTCCAATAGAAGCCAACCCAAATCGTCAACTTTGAGCTCAATTATCTCAACTCCTGTGAAAGTTATCAAAGTATTGGAATTCGTTCTGGGTCCCAAAAGACAACTGATAAAATATTGGTCATATTATGACCTACAATTTGTCATTTAACAAATCATTGACGTTTCACGAGAATTGAAATAATTGAGCTCAAAGTTGACGGTTTGGTGGGCTTCTATCCGAGCAGATCCCAATACGTTGTTTGTAACCGAAAAATGCCTTAAAGGAGGCGAGACAGCAAAAATTTCGGGGGACAGTTCGGGGGACGAAATCGCGCCGCGCTTATGTAGACCATCGGTCGTCAGGCGCCTTCGCGACCCCCGTAGCTCAGCCGGTAGCAGCGCTGTACCCCTAAGCTGCCTGTCATGAGTTCAACCCCTCATGGGGGTTCTCTATGCAAAATATCAGGAAAACTTTTTTTTTTGGTGTCTGGCCTCCTTTAACTAACATTGAAATGAGAGTCGTGCTATTTCGAAGCCGTTCAATTACATAACTGAATATTTGACATTGTTCGAAATGCTCTGGAATTTTCTGTATGTTATTTTCACATTCCAAAATTCTGGACTACTTATTCAAGAGTGCAAAATCGAACAGAAAAAGTCAAGAAATGAAACATTTTTGTCCGGTGCTGTGATTGTTGAACTTAATAAACTGATAATGTTCAAAAGTTGAAAAAATCGTGTTAACTTTTTTCGAATGGAAAGTTGAAAATGTTAGAAATCATCTGTTTCCACAACTGTTTTCTCCGGGAAAATTGTCGTTTTCACCCGAACGACCCTGTAAAAGGACGTTTTCAAAATTGTCTCTCTTTCAGGTTTTACATAAAGTATTTGTTTGCACAATCCCGTGTGAATAGGATGATGAGAACTTCTACCCTTTCATCTTCAATAATATAGGTCGGATGAAACGCCTTGGAAATTTCAAATCTCCTCACCTCTTACTGTTTCGTGTGTCGTGGTCATCAATAAAAAAGCATGTTTCACTTTCACTCCCCTCTTATTTCTCCGAATTTTCGCCTTTTACTACAACAAATATCTATCGGCGGGCCCCGAGACAGCGCCGCTCCGCACCGGACTTTGGTCACCAAATTACTTGGTTTCGAAGGGACGAAAAAGCGCCGAAGACGGTCAACGATGGATGGATGTGATGGAAACACGGGAGGGAAGCAAAATGGAAATTGGCTGTTTGTTATGAAATGGAAAGTCAGCTAGTGACCGATCGCATGGGATACTTGAACAACGTCATCAACGGTGCGCAACACCTGGAATACGAAGATAGCATCGCCGAGAATCTGGCCTAAAATATTTCTGGAAGATTCTCGAGGAGAAAGTGAAACTGGAATAGTTTAGGGATGATCTTTCGATTGATGATTCTCTATTTCAAAAAAGATTATTTAGTCTCAAAAATTTCAGACAGATAATTCATAAATTTTATTAATGGTCGCAGTCACGGCTCTCTCCTGGCAGAACTCCTTCCAAATTCCAAATTCCAATATCAAGAGTCTTAGGAGCATCGGAGTCAGAGAAGATGTAGTTGTTCGGCAACTCGAACTTCCAGCGTCTCTGGCATGGCTGAAAAACACTTATTTTTTGGAAGAGATAGCTGGGAAGTCAGCTTACATTGATTCCATCGTCACAATCGTGATACACCTTGAGATGTGGGTCAATGGTAGTGAGTTCAGAAGTGTGTCCTGAGAGTTCGAATGCTCCATTCGCGTCGGTGAATCCGTTTCCTAAGTCATCATCTGGATCTGGTCCTGAAAATAAAATGGAATAAAAAGAATAATTAACTTTTATCAACAACCAAAATCGTCATCAATCAATTTGACTTGAACACCTTTCGCCGACTCCGTTCCACATCTGAATACTCCTTTCACCTAAAAATTAATTCAACTTCAAACAGACGTTCGAGAACTCACTCTATAGTTTTGACGTCCTGTGTGCTGATCAGCCGCTAATACGGCAGTTGCTAGCAAACAAACCACTAGAACAGAGGCCCTTGAAATCATTTCTGGAATTCTGCTTAGACTCAAATGAAAATGAAATGAAGAGAATAATTAAGTTAAAATAAGAATATGGTTGAAATCGACCATTCAGAAAAAAGAGTCAAAAAATGTGACATGATTAAGAAAAAAATTCATTTAGGAAAATAAAAATTAATGAGTGCAGCTTCTACTCTCGTTGTCCAACTCAACCTGAAAGTGAAATGTGTGTTATTGAACAAGGAATGAATAATTTTCAAGTGGTAAAAGCTAAACTTATGTGGAAATTATTAGATGAGCCAATGAAAACCTGATCATGAAAAGTTTGCGGTATTTGAAACCCCCAGAAAGCTCTGATAACTTTTATGTATCTATTTCCTTAACATAAAAATTTTATAGTGCAACTCTTTGAAACAGTCAAAAAAATGTCTACTCAATTATTTTTAATAACGAATCAAATTTAAAAAACCGTGCAAGCCATTTTTCAATTGCTAACACGAAAACTTACTTCCAAGTTCAAAACTCCCAAGTCCATGATTTCCTTAACCTCTGGTCCGTTGGTTATGTATTTTGCTGGTATCCGGATTACCCATTCACGTTGACATGGCTAAAACTATTTTTTACAAATACCTTGTTCATCACAACTCACACTTCCTTGGTCGTTGCAATCATGGAAAATTCTGAGCTCCGGATCGATTGGTGTCAATTCCATCGATGATCCGCTCAAGAAGAAATTGCCTTCATTGTCAGTAGTCTTCTGATCCAAAACATCATCTGGGTCCGGCCCTAAACATTTTCAGATGTGTTGCGAAATAATAGGCAAACACCAACCGTTATCTTCATCGAAAAGTTTCAAATTCACTCCAGTCGCTGCCTTGCTTCCACATACCAATTTTCCCTTGACACCTGTGGATTGGGTACGGAAAGCAATCGCTCCACAGATGAGTAAAAGTGAACAAATGAGAACCTTCATCGTCTACAAATCAATTTTATCAGAACAGAGTTTAGCTATTTCAAACGTATAGGACAGCGACTCATCAAAGTTTTATCAATCTACACGAAAAAAAGAATCGTTGCGGAATCGAGTCAAAATTGGCGAGTACATAAAATTGATAACGCAATGTAATATTGGCAGTTCAGTGAAAAACATAATTTCTGATCTGAAAATTAAGAGTGATACACGTGAACGACACATTTTGTATTTTATCACATGAATCAAGTCACGTACACTGTCATTGACTTATAAAATAGTTCAATGAAGAAGTGCCAATATTTAAAGAACTTCATGAAAAAGTTAGCCCAAGTTGACATAACCTGAAAGGATCAATTCTCTTTTATCTGGAAAATCAATTCAGGATGCGGTGTACTTTTTTAGTTTAAAAATAGTTGAAAATCACCCAACTATTTTTAGTTGCTGATAATTTGGTGACCAAAGTCCACAGTCTATTTTCATTTTCTAACTTTAAAATGATGAATTAGGCAAATTTCTAAAAATCGATTTTCTAGTTCAAATGATTGAGATAGAGAAGTTGGTTAAAACAAAATGAGGGAAAGAAGGGACCTTGAGGCTCCGATGTGATTTTGTGTTGACCGAAAACAAGACGCCAGTTGGTCCCAAGACTCGATTTATTGCATTACGAACGTTTTGAGCAGCCACATGGCTTGAGTCATTGGTAAATTGAGATGAGACAATAAGAGAGAGAGAGAAGAAAATCAAGAGTTCAAATCTTCATTAGTTAGCGATTCTTGACAAATCGAGAGACAGATTCAAAATATTGCGACGGCGTAAACTCCAATTTTCGATGGGATCGTTGATCGGATGGGGGTCCAAAAGTTGAATAACATATGGATTGTCAATACTGGCCACATTCTGAACAGAATTCGGAGAAACGGTGGTGATTTCTTCAAACGGTTTGGTATCGGCTCCTTTATTCATCTGATAATTTGAAAAATCATGATCAGTGCTACAAATTCAAAAAAAACTAACTTTTCCTTTCAAAAATTTGAAAACAAACTCTCCAATAAACAAAACCGTGCCAAGACTCGCTCCTCCTAAAAACACCCAAAACGCTCCTTGTGCTCTTTTCAAGTCTAAGTAACTTTTGGGGCCGGTAGTTGTGGAATTGCATTCATTGATTTTCTGCATAGCCACATAAGACCTATAATCAGCTATCCATTTTTGTGTGAATCCTCGTTCAACCATCTCTCGAATTCTATAAAAAAATCGCTCACGACATTCAATATTCTGAATTTCTCTTTCACTAACTTTGTTGAAAAATATGACGAATAAATTGAGTGCTTTTGCATTGGAATTGATAAATAAACTGGAAGGATGCCATCATTCAAAAGTATCACTTTACAATCGGAATACGCGTAGAAGTTGAGTGTAGCCATTGGTCCGAGCAGTGCATAACCAGGATTCGCTCGCACAAAGGCGACGCCTAAACTGATGAATAAGTTACAGCAATGAGTCAATGGCTGGAACAACCTCTTGACACTCCATTCACATATTTAACTTTGTGATTTAAAATCATCTCGTGCCACAGATCGCGATAAACAGGAAGTTTTGAGCGCTGGAAATAAACTGTTGCCAATTTTTTTGAAATTGTTTAGAAAGTTAATTAGGGTTTCATTCAGGAGTTGTTCAATAAACGGTTAGCTTCCTCATTTTGAAAACTAACAGCAATCATTTCAGTTCTCGTAAATGAATTCTCATCCATCACAATTTCAAATCTTCCTTGTTTAATCAATCTCACGAGTTGGTCAATATCTGCAAATCTTTTTTCATTTTCTCAAGCCACCACCCCGTACGAGCTCACTTTGAAATGGCAAATTAGTTTTGTCGACGGCGAATAGCGCCACCAGACTACCCGTAAACGTGGCACTGAGTGTAATACTAGCCAGCCACCACAATGCCACGAGAACTCGACAGCTCCAGCTTCTCGGTTGTTCCGGTAGCCCTGGAAACGAGTGAAAACAACGGGTTCCTTGTTTCTTGTCGCATTCCATTTCCAATCACCAATACTTACCTTGTTGTACGAAAATTGAGAAGAACACCCATATTGATTCAAACGGAGTCACTGACATTTCCTTGTAAACCCTTCCCATAATATTTGTCATTCCCAGAAATATTACTCCTGAGATGAGAATGACAGCCGCTGTGATCACCCAAACTTCCCATGAAAACGGTTCAGTGACAATAAGCAGTGTATCATCTTCATATTTCTCGGGTGATCTGTATTAACGATGAGGTTTTCAGATTTCAGAGTTAGAATTCTCAAAAAAAAAATATACCTGTGGGAAAAATTTTATTAAATAGAGTAATAAAAAACTAGCACGATAAATCTTAAGACAAGAAATATTTTTGTGAAAAATGATTGCTTTAGAATTTCGAAAAAGTGTGCTACGGCCGAAAAATCATATTTTGACTCTTTTAAATTGAAATTTATAATGGAAAATTATCAACTTGTCCCGAAAATGTTTTTAAAAGTTTTCATTCCTTCGAAAAACTTATATTAAACAAAAATTTAAAGTTATCAACTTTTCTAAACAACTGCATATCTTGTTTTGTTGAACTTTTACAAAAGATGTATAATAAACAATTGAAGACCTTATTTTGATTAATATACTCCGAAATTTTCAAACTAATTGAAAATTATTTAACTTATTTTTACAGAACTTTAATGTGGACCATCTTCCACTAAAAAATATGAAGTTTATATTTTTTGGTCCACTTCTGATATTATTCGCACCTTATCATAATTCCAGTTGGCTCAAATTGAAATGGATAAGTTAGGTCCGATATAACACTTCGATCATATTCCATAATAGCTCCTCCCGCAAGCAAATCGACTTCCTGAAAGATCTCATTTCATATGACAGATCATTTTCCTCGCATCAAGTACTACTCCTAACTACTTACCCCTCTGACAAGTTGACCAAATGCTCCCGTCCATGATCCGTTTAGGTACTCTCCCCATGTGCTACCAGACGCCGGAATAATCTGAACACATTAACCAAATGAGATTACCAACTCTCCAATTTTTCTTACTTCGTAGGTCAAGTTGAGGCGTTTTCCAATCTCTTTAAGTATCTCAATGACAACTCCCGGCCCGTATCCTTTTTCTGTGACAGCCGCGTCGCTAAAGTTCACGTAGTTGACATACGGCGGCTCGACGGCAGGGACCACTATTTTCAATGTTTTATCTCGCATTTTTTCGAGGAAAAAATGTTTTTGAGTACTTTGCTGGAATGTGTAAAAGTTTAGTCTGAATAAAAAAAGAATGTCGAAAAAAGGAGATGTTGTTTTCAACTCATAGATCAAATTTGTTATTAATGAGTCGAAAGTGGTAAAGTATTAGGTTGGCGGGAAAGTCTTTGTCACTTTTTCAATAGTTTATTTCTCAAAGAAAAAATAACCGAATAATTAATTATATTGTCCATCATTATCAACAACATGTCTCCAACGTTCCCTCAATTTATGGATTCCATTGCGGTAGAATCCAGCCGGGCGTGAGGCAAAGTATTGTTTGAGTGCCGCTTCGACCGCTCCACGGGAATTGAAGCTTCTTCCTTCGAAGGCAGTGTCATATCGCCAAATAACCAATAGTCGGAAGGAGCAAGATCAGGAGAATACGGGGGGTGAGGGAGAACATTCCATCCATATCCCATCAGCTCCTGCTTCACTTGTTTCGAAACATGTGGGCGAGCGTTATCATGTTGATAGTACACTTTCTTGTCTTTCAGGGCCGAACGGTCGACTGCTTTCTTGAGGTTTCGTAGTTGAGTAGTGTAGAGGTCTCCAGTTATTGTTTTGCCCTCGGGCAGAAGTTCCCAGTAGATGGGGCCGTCCACTCCCCACCACACAGAGAGCATAACTTTTTTCGGATGAAGGTCGGGTTTGGGGACATCCTGTGGGCTCTCTCCTTCTCCAACCCACTGGGATTTCCTGTGGTGATTATCGTAGAAGACCCACTTCTCATCTCCGGTTATTAGCCGGTCCAGCCATCGATCGCCCGCGTGGAGAGTGAGAAGAGTAATCGAATCGTCGACTCGGCGGTCAAGGTTGGCTTGAGTCAGGTGATGAGGTATGAATCGACCAAAAAGTTTTCTCATTCCAAGAGACTTCAAACCTTCAAGGACTGTGCTATGGTGAACTCCGAATGTGACAGCTAGTTCACGGCTAGATTGAAATGGATCCGATTGCAATGCGTGCTTCAGCTTGTCCAAATCCAACTCACGGGGTCTCCCAGAGCGATCCTTTTCATCGAGCGAGAAGTCATCTTTTTCGAAACGATGGAACCAATTGCGAATAGTATTGTAGTGAGGGGCATGTGTGTTGTACACATTCTTCAAGAAAGTTTCCGAATCCTTCATCGTGGTGTGAGATAGGAAGAGGTAAATCAAAACATGTCTGATGTGAATAGCAGTGGGAACAAACATATCGTTTCAATTACAGATGAGGAGCAGGGAAGGAGATGGGGACTTGTTTATATGGAAGGTTCTTATCACCTTGTTATTCACTAAAGTCGATATCATACACAGCCTCCATATACGAGAACAGTGATTAAACAAACAGAGTGACAAAGACTTTCCCGCCAACCTAATAAGTAGAAATAAAGTTTTTCAAAATTCGAACAAATTTCAAACTTTAAAAGCTCACTTAAAGTAATTATGCGTTGACTCAAAAAATCCATCTATATTCCTAAAAAACGTTTCTCAATGAAAAGTTTTTTATAATTTTTTCACATTCCACTTTTTATTGCACCAGGATTCCTATTTTGTAAAAACCTACCGTGTATGCATCTCCATAATCAGATTCAAATGAAATTTGAGAAGGGACAGCAACTTCTGAAACACATTTTTAAATTCCAACAAAACAATCTCTCACTCACTCTCATTTATAGATTCTAGAATATTATTGAGCGTTCTGATCGAATTAGGATCAGCTGTAGTATTTTCAAAGTCTGGGGAGAACATTGCTTTGTGCAAATCCGTCGGAGAAACATGAATAAGAATAATAACAAGCGAAGAAATGTAGGAAGTATGCATGGCGAGAGCCTGGAATATATGAATTCTTGATGAATTCCTGAATACCTTTTCTCTAAGCAGCTCATATTTCAATTCTTTCGAGATGTTATCGAAATTGGAGCACTCGAAAACAAGCGATTTGGGCTCAAAAGTCAAGTGGATTCCATATATTGAATACATTAGTACTCCATTCTAATTCGAAGGGATTCCAGGGGTGCATCGTTGATATTTTTACTCGATTTTTGAAAAGTGACGTCATGTTTGTTGCAATTGTCTCTAAGCAGCTCATATTTCAATTCTTTCGAGATGTTATCGAAATTGGAGCACTCGAAAACAAGCGATTTGGGCTCAAAAGTCAAGTGGATTCCATATATTGAATACATTAGTACTCCATTCTAATTCGAAGGGATTCCAGGGGTGCATCGTTGATATTTTTACTCGATTTTTGAAAAGTGACGTCATGTTTGTTGCAATTGTCATCAATATTTGGAGAAGGAGGACGAAAAGATGGAACATCCTTTGCCATCTGTGAAAGTGCCCTCTGCTGTGACGGAAGGAAACATTATGTTGAGGAAGAGGGGGCGCTTCCTCGTAACATAACATTTTTGAATCGCTTTATTTTTATTGAGGAGGACTATTACTGAAACTTCACTAGATTACTTCTGACTAGTCGCTTTGCGTCTCTTGCGTTCGCGCGCTTCGTAGTATATAACTTTTCGCCTCTCCTCGACCAACTGTCCTCAAATAATATTTGACTTTCCAAAAGTTTAGAGGAAACAACTTTGTGGGTGTAGCTTGCGAATGTTAGTTGGGAAAAATTCGGAGCTCTAACCTGATGTTAGGTACCTCCGTTTGTTTTAATTGAATTTTTAAAAAAGAAGTTTTGAGATTTTTTTTTATTTTATTAATTTATATGTTTCCTTGTTCCGAAAAAGAATCGAATATTTAATTAAAAATATCTGACCAATGTCGGTTTTCTTGTGTTGACACTCATCAGTGTATTTGCATTGGCCTGACCCTCTTGCACTCGGACCAACCTCTCCTCCTCTTTGTCTTCTTCCGCGACCTGTTTTGTGTTGGTTGGCCTCATCTTCCTCCCTCCATCTTTTTACAATCCATCATTATCGATCTGATTTACAACCTTGTTTTTTATGGTCGGCCCTCTGTTGTTGTTTTTAATTGTGTTCAGCTATCCCCTATTCTTCTCCAGAAACTTTACTTTTTTTCTAATACTAGTTGTTGACAAACCTTCACGAAAGAAACGCAAAAGATTGGCCGCTTGCGCATTGCTCGCCTCTTTGCGCATTTCCGTCGCGTATAGTCGCGCGTTTGCGCCTTCATATCCATCCAACAACACATTCACTTCTTTCCCTCGTCTTCGTCTACTCTCTCCTGAAACCAATATATTCTGTTGCATTTTGCTGGCCGGCTATTCGTCCCTCACTATTCATATCCACGAATCTTGTTTTGGCGAAAAACAAAAATAAATATCGCAAGCGAGATGTCAGATATTCATATCCGTGTTCCTGTTGCTCGGCCAAGAAACCAATCACCGACTGTTATTCGCTATTTCCTGTCTGAGAAACACCTGGGCCCGTATTGGGTCGCATTTTGGCCGTGATTCACTAAAATTTCGTCTTTTTTCGTCAAGCTCGGTTGGCCCTCACTATTATCACTATGATTCAAATCAAACATCGGGTTGGTTTGAATATTTATAAGATTTTCTTATTTGTATAAGTGTCTGTGCGTGACGTTTAGTGCTTTTTTCAAGGCGAGAGGTCGTAAAAGGCTTCGTGGGTTTTTGTGATAGGCGAAGTTTTCGCTTAGAAATTTCATTTTTTTGCAATTTAACTCCGAACTATCGCAGCGAAATATTTCGTTGACTTCATACTGTACCAATTATCATTTTTACAGATGCCTGTGAGTTTTAAGACTCCGCCGACTAGTACGGACAGGACAGAATTGACGGCGGCAGTGGCTGCGGGGAAAACCAAAGTCGCCTTGGAAGATCGTTCCGTGAAAGCTGATAACAATGAAGATAACACGCCGATGGCGATGTATAGAGACGAATCGTTCAAGAACAAACGACGTCAAACGAATGTGAGTTCCACGTATCATGTGCTATCATGGAATGGTACAAATTATTTTCCATATGGGCTTGGGTTTTTCCCTCTAACTGTACTATCAGGCAATGGAGTTTCGCGTGATGTGAACTGATAAAAAATTGGGTTCCTGATATGTTCGGTACAGCTTCGGCAGAGGAAATATAGCTTGCTATCATTTTGGAGTGTCTAATATATGCGGAATCATCAGAATCAATTTTAGGTTCTTTTGGAACAGTTTATCTAGAGTAATCTCAAGATAAGATAGTATTTTATACCTTGAACTAACTTTTACAATTTTCGAAATGTTAATGACTCTCTCACAAAAACTCTCAATGCGTAAAACCTTTGTCATACTGATAACGAAACGTTGTAAAAATCGGAATGGTTCAATTTTAAACATTTGCGTTCGCCTCGTTTCTCTCCACTATCACACAGTATTAACTGCAGCAAAAAATTTTAGTGAATGGATGGCCAGACGCTCCAATGTTACATTTTGTCTCTTTTTTTTGCTTCGAGGGGCACCCGCACTTTCACGGAATGATGTAACTATTGATTGGCGTCTGAGTTATCTCATCACGTTCTTGTCTTATCTTTTCTCCAATACCTGTTTGGTATTAGAACCACTAAGAAGTGGCCGTCCCGTTAATCTGTGTTCATTTTGAGCACTTGGCTTCCCGTCTCGCCTTCTTTTGTTAACCTCCGCTTGTAAAAGAGAAAGAAAGAAAGACAATTTTTATCACAAAAAAAGTTAGAGTCAAATATGAAGCGAGAAGAAGAAAAAGAAGCGTTATCAACACTTCATAGTTTCATTTTTCGGTCCTATTTCCCAAGTAGGTTGGCTTTTTTCTCTAGAGGGGTTGGCTTTCGGTTTCGTTTTTTTTTCGGAGTGACAAAAAAACGTGTGACAATATAAATATGCTTCTGGCTCTTATCTGATTGGTTCTGTGCTCCATTTTTGGTAGATTTCTTTGGGAACTCTTATATTAACATCGTTGTTTCTGGCTAATCGTACTCATTTCCTTTCGCGTTACTACTCGATAATTCTGAAAGCCATTATCCCAGTTTAAGGTAAAAAACCACAATAATAACAATCTGATATCAATGGGATCCCGCGAGCTGGACAATTTTGATTGTCAGTCATGCGATTCTCTTAGCTGCTGTATGTCTGAGGGATCACATTTCACGGTAGACAGAGCTATTTGAAAATTAAGCAGTTTTTTAAATTCAATTTCTTGTTTCAGGTCATTGATCACTGCCCACATGGAACTCAGAGCCTTGAAAATGGACTTAAACTCAGAGGAGAGCCCGTGGTGAAAGCTGAATCTGTTCAGTAATTGATATTTAACCTTGGACCTCTAAAAAATGAACGTTTCAGAGGAGTTAGCAGAAGTCTTATCATCCAAATCGTGCTGACCGTCGTCTTCTGTATTCTGGAGTTTCTCACAGGAGTCATCTGCTCTTCCATAGCCATGCTCGCAGATTCGTACCATATGGCAGCAGATGTGATGGCTTTGATGGTTGCATTCACGTGCATCAAGGTGAGTGCAAAATACAACGAAATAGGTTTCGTGTTATCTATTCTTTGGCGGCAATCAGCTTTGTTTGAAATTAGCACTTTGGTAGTTAAGTGCATAGAAGTTGAACTCACTTTCCAAGAACAACTCATTGATTCCAAAAGTTCCAGATTGCAACTAGGCCATCGACTCGCCATGGATACGGATGGGTCCGCGCAGAAACTCTCGGAGGATTCTTTAATGGAGTCTTCATGTGCACTGTCTGTTGTCTTGTCCTTCAAGAAGCCGTCGGTCGTCTTTTCAATGCCCACCTCATCACCCACCCATTGCAAGTGATGATCATTGGAGCGATCGGACTGGTTATCAACATTTATGGAATGTTCAATTTGAGTGGACACGGACACAGTCACGGAGGAGGTGGACATGGACATAGTCATGGCGGTGGTGGTCATGGACATAGCCACGGTGGCGGAAAGAAGAGCAAAAAGAATAAGAAGGAGGGGCATGGGCACAGCCATGATGAAGGACATGGACATAGTCATGATGGAGGTCATGGACACTCACACGATCACGAAGAGCATGAAGATTGCCATGAAGAAGATCATGATGGACATGAAACTCACAAGGAAGGACCGCATGTCGAGGTTACGACTCGGCTTCTGCAAGAAGAAGCGATCGATCAGATTGTTGAACGTAGACTATCAACAGTGAATAACCAGCCCGGAGTCTCACCATACACTCATATTGCTAGCGATTTGCTCAATAGTACTGTCAGCGTGAATGGAGAAGGAAAAGGACCAAAACGTTAGTGATTTTTGTTTTTATCTTCTAATAAATTTAAATTTTCAGCAGAAAAAAACGACAACCTTCGTGGAGTATGGCTTCATTTGATGTCAGATGCATTGGGCTCTGTCATTGTTATGATTTCCTCAGCGTTCGTTTACTTCAACAGCGAATGGTGGCTGACTGTGTACTTGGATCCAATTCTGAGGTTTCATTCCGCTTTCATACTTTGAAAATACAAAAGAACATTTTCAGTATCCTACTCGCATTGCTCATGGGCTATGGAGCCGTCAAATTGGTCAAATCGTCTGGTGGAAATCTTCTGAAACGGACTCCAGCAGATTTCAATGTTGAAAAAATCAAACAAGACCTTTGCAGTATTGTTGGCGTGTCGAAGGTGGAGAAAATGTCGATTTGGACTCTAACCGATCAGAGAATCATCGCATCAGCTCACATGAACTTCTGCCACCCAGCTGTTTTCTCGGAAGCCGCATTTAAGATCAAAAAGTACTTCCATGACTTGGGTGTTCACTCGACAACCATCGAACCGACATTTGAGGTAAGGCTGGAAGAAACAAAACATTTGAAATTTTAAATTTTTTCAGCCGGCCTGCATGCAATCAATGATTGTAAAAATACGAAAATCCAAAGATAAGGTCAAGGAACCAAAACAAGCTGTCATAATTGCTGAGGACGAGACCGAAGAAGGTCCATCTACGCAGTAAAATGACCTCTGAACCCATTGATAGTATTTCGCCGGACGAACAAGTATCTCAATATGTGCCTTATGTTCAAATGTTTTAAATTTTGGTTTTCTTATACATATCCACTTTCAACACTTTATCCATCTTTCAATTCTGGTCTATAATCCCGCCTTCCTCCCCCACAACACTTTTCTTCTTTCAATACGAGTTGGTTAGAACTATTTCACTTAATTTTCTTGGTTATTTTAATTGAACCATTCACAATGACACACCTTTTTGTATTTTATAATTTTGTTTCAATCGCCTAATAAATCTAATGAATAAATGATTCATTTATTACCATTTTTGTTTTTATTTCTTAGCGCAAAAAATGTGGTTTGAGCCCTATTGTTATCGGCCCGTGTGCAATGAAAAAATAAACAGCGAGTGAGCCAAATAACTTTTAGGTGAGAAATAAAAAAATGACAAAACCGGCAGAGAAACCCAAACCAATGGATGTAACAATAGAATTGGATTTAGATGATGATGAGTGGGCAGAGATGGATGTGGTGAGTTAATCTATGAAAAAATAAATATTCCGCCTGTCAGCACGAATCAAAATTGTTGACAGTGATTTACGAGTATAGGATCGGGATTTCAAAGGGAGTCACAAAAAAAAAAGAAGAAAAAAGAGCAATAAATCACAGGATTATGTTGTTGCCAAGGACAGGAGTCGAGCTGCCACCCCAACAAGTCCTACAACTAGGACTACGAAGCTAGCTTTTTTCTTTCTCTTGTCTCTTTTTTTTTTGTCTCAAACACACAACACGAACCCTATCATCAAGTCTAAAAAAGTGGAGCCAGCAATTAAAATTGTGTAAGAATCGCTTCAGCACGTCTCAGTCGACCTAATGCAGAGCTTCCCATAATTTGTAGTTCTTTATTCGGATTCTCAATGAGAATCTTTTTTTTTTGTTGACTTACTGAGAGAAATACTGAAATGGAAGATTTCTATAATAGAATTCTCGACTTGAACTTGGACACAAGTGAGCCATTATCGGTCAGTCTACAGAAGATTACAGTTGAAGCCGCCCTTTTTGAAACTGTCAAACATTATTTTTTATATTTTTCAGCTCACCGAAGACTACTTGGACGATGATATGGACGAGTTTCCGATTGACCGTCCATTAGAATTATCAGATGTCACTTTCAAACTACCCGGGAGTGTTAGGTTCGTTAAAATCATTACTAAACTCAATCGAAATCCTGATTTTAGAATTAAACACTTGTCCAAAGAACTCAAAGATATGCTCATCAAACAACTGGATGTTCCTCCTGCAGTGACAATGGGATCATGGCAAATGGTGGCCGATTATTTGACTGATTGTCTTCCTTTTGTGAGATTTACCTTTTTTAAAAATAAATCTATGCAACAAGAGTATTTTTAGGAACTTGACATCACTGACCTCAACCCAAAGGTGCCGTGGAAGCCATATGAGAATTTAAACGCGCAATGTGTTCTGGATGCACTTGTTAAAGTAGAGCGAATCGATCTGTTGTGGAAAATTAAAGAAATGGCTTTTGAAAACAATCACTTGGAGTTAATTGATGGTAAGCTGATTTTGTTTTGATAGTCTTTAAATCATAGGGGATTTCAGAAAATGCTTCAACAAGTCAGGCACTAACTATGCCAGCTATCCCACCGCAAGCACCATCGAACCTCTTCCCGGGTGATAATTTCAAAAAGATCAATGCCACGAACTGTGAGTTCATCCTCTGTTATTTGTAAAAAATCAAAATATTTTTAGCAATCCTTGTCCAGCATTTCGAAGTTAGCAAGATAGAAAAACAAAACTTCCGTTGGTTCTACGATAATTTCAAGGAGCATTTGAAGAGACCAGAGGCCAATGGGATGAGAGCAGTGGATGTGGCGGATTTGGAACAGGACGATGGTGGAAATTTGCTACAGATGCTGGAACATGTGTACCCACAGGTATTCGATTTGAGCTTGGAATTTTCTTTCGAATCCTGTGATTTTCAGTTCAAACATATTGTTGTGTGCTTCAATGATTCGTATATCAAAGCCGTGAAGGAACTGGTTCCGAAGAAGAAGTTCAAATTTCGCAAATTCATTCATGACAGAACAGTTATGGAATTCGTGAATAATGGTAGTAAAAATAAGCGATGCAGATGTCTGGTGATGCCGGTGAGTTGAACATACCTCTAATAGAGCCTATATTCGCGATTTGAGACCAATTGTCTGGATTTCTATTGAAAAATCGAAAAAAAAATCAATTTGAAAAATCTGTGTAATGATTTGAAAAATATTTTGTCTTATCATGGTTGTCTAATATCTCTTACAGAAATCTAAACAACTGAAGTGAAAAAGCATATACAGTACCCTTCAATAAGCTACATAAAAAGCATTTTCAGTTGATTTCCGGCCGTTTTGACCATTTTCAGGAATCTGAAGTTGGACTACCAAGTTTTCGATAACTTTAACAATGTCTAGTTTTTCAGCTGTTTGCAGAATTTTTTAAAATTTTCTGGCTTGTTTTTGTACTAAAAACGTGAAAAGAACGAATGACTTCAAGATGCCGAGCTAAAGCTGGAAAACTAGGAAACTGCCGAGCTCCAGACTCCTAAAGATGTCCGAAAATCAACTAAAAATATGTTTTTGTGTATCTTACTGTACAATAGAAAACATTTCTGTCATAGAAAATACGAAAAAAATGTGAAAACATCACTTTTGGTCATTGCAGCAAACCGAATTGAAAGTGGAGACTCTCTGGGCAAATGTGACATATTCATTTTATTTCCCGGACAACTACAACGAATTCTTGAAACGTCTTTTTGATAGGAACGTTAACGTTAGAGATATGAGCAACACGGGATTTCATGATGACTTTATAAAACCAGCTGAGGCGAGGAATCTTGTCACACAATGAATTTTTTAAATGTATTTTTGTATATAGTGATATTTTTACAGCTTTTTTTTCAATCATCCTTTTCCTCGATCTCATGTCTTCTGTCACATGTTTTAGACTTTATGTTCCATTAGATAGCAACCAGTATGAAATCGTCAGATGTGATTTGAAAAATGTACGAAATCCTTTTTTTTTCATTACCTTGCCGTTTTTCTTGATGTATTATATTCATCATTTTTTAATTTATTGAATCCTGCCTATTTTGCAAGTAATGTTTTCAATCTCTATGTATAACTAATAAATAGAGATTCTATCTTTGATCTTGATTTTAATTGCGTTGCACTTTTTCTGGAGACTTCATGCGATTCAGCTCCCATCTTGAATAGTTCTTAGTTTCTCTATTCATGCTGACACATCTGCCTCATTGCTAATTACATTAGCCCGGAAACTCGTATTCAGAACAAGTGTGGGTGCCAAGATGGGTATTGAGTTAGAATCTCGGAAGATCCGGATTCAAGTTACTAATAGAAGATGTTTTCCTATTCCCTTTTAGTCTTCTTTTTCCGCATTCGGGAGGAATAAAAAAACTTCCACACGATTTTTCCTCTAGAACTGTCGTTCGTAATCTTGTCTCCGATTATTTACGAGTATCCGGTGTCATATCGGGTACATTTGACATTGATGGATTGCTCATAGGTGCATGTATTTTTTACTTTTATTAGACTGGTTGCCGCCCACGTAGCCGGAAAAACGCGTATAAGCTTCTAGAAATTCTTCAATTTTAAAACAAAAAATAAGTTGCGATTTATTTCCCGCTAAAAGGTTTCTTTTGTTATTTTTTTTTCCCACCCGCCACTTCAGTGATAAAAGGGATTAGTATATATCAGAATATGATGGTGAAATAGAAGATTCGCGAAAAGAAAAATAACAGCTTATCCAGCGGCATCAAGTATCCGACAGCTTTTTCGGATTTGACATGATAGATGGATAGTCATTTCGACAGCATAACAATTTTTATAACGTTTTTCGGTGATTTTCATTTTTGGCCAGGAATGAGCAATAGGCGGAGATCTCTGCTTTTTTTGCTGTTCTTATTGTGCTTCACTCAATGAAACAAAGCACGGAGAAGAGAATGCATTGAGGGAGAGCAAAAGTTTGTGTGGCGGCGCCGCAAAGAAATCCACATAAAACATGCTCAAAAGCACTCCGACCACCAATTTTATCTGTCATTAATTCAAGTTTCATTAAGCCACCGATTCGCATCACTGCACCAATTTATAGAGAAGAAAAAAGCCCCCTAACTTTTTTTTCATCATTTTCATCATCGACGTTTTTGTATCTCATCCAACTATCGCTTATTTTGTAAAAAAAAAGTAGTTTTTCCCGAAGTTCATAAATGTGTGAAACACAATGAAGAATATTTTGGAAATCTTCAGCCAAGTGTGGTCGGTAAGTTCTTCATTCCAAAAAAAGTAAAAAATTCAGTTATTACTTTTTTGAGTTCCTAGAACTTTATAAAGAAGGTAGTTAAAATGAATAAATTTGCGACCGCTGTTTTATTTACTTTTAAGTTCTTTTCTGTTATTAGGAGCAAAAAATGATCTGATATCGCACAATACTCCTTCCAAATTTGTATTAGTTTCATCAATTATTGTAAATGCTCCAAATTTTTTCTTGATTGTCTGTTATTTTATCCGATTTAGACTAGCTTTCACTCAAACTTGACACACTAGAATTGTCTGAGCCTAAATCTGAGCTTTGAAAGATCAGTTACTTTTCTTTGATAATTTTTTGGAATTTTCCTGTTAGAAAAGTTTTGAAGTCCTTAAAAAAGTAGTTCGAAATATTCGCAATCTGACTAAAAAATGCAGATTAAATCAAAAAAGTACTTAATTTTGTTACTTGTCAACTATTTCAGAAATCCAGCAAAACGAGAAAATTGTTAATTACGTATTTTCTCTAATATTAGGTTGGAAGAAAAGTAACTGTCCATTTTCAATTCGTGAAATAACACAAAAACAAGAATTCCCCAAGATTGACAGTATGCACCGTCGTGGTCCACGACATGCTGACAACATTCAAGTAACTTGTGGATACCGTCGCCCCAAAAGCCAGCTGACCGCGAGTCAAAGTATTCCCTAAAAGCCGTTTTTATCTCATCGACAGTGTAAAATTGATTTCCCTCCAGATAAGGTTGCATATCTCCGAATAACCAATAATTAAAGGGTTAAGTCTGGAGTTTAAGAAATGTGGACAGCCATCCATTCAAAGCGGCTTAGGACTGAATTGACTTTCTTTAAATAAAGCGAGATTCTATGTTCCACGGAAAGTCGAGTCGCCATGGGCCATGGTCATGGGCCGCTTTAGCTGGACGGTTTTTCTTTACGCCCTTCAAACTCCTGATTTGGACTTCTCATTATTGGTTATTAGGATAAATGCAACGTCATCTGGAAGGAAATAGTTCAACACTGTAGATGAGATAAAATCTGGACTGAAAAAAATACTTTGAGTCGCGTCCAGCGGGCTTGTGGAGAGATGGTATCCACAATTTACCCGAATGTTGTCAGCATGTCCTGGACCACGACGGTGCATAATCTTGGATAATTCTTGTTTTTGTGTTATTCACGAATTAAAAAATAGACAGTTACTTTCGTTCCAACCTAATAGAAGCCCACGCAAAACATCAACTTTGAACTCAATTATCTCGGTTCCTGTGGACGATATCAAAAATTTGTCAACCAAAAAATGATATTGTGATAAATGATTTATTTGCTGGCCAATTTTTTGAATCTTTGATAGGAAGCGAAATAATTGAGCTCAAAGTTGAAGGTTTGAAACGTCAAAAAATATCTATTCCGCTTTGATCAGCATAGCTAAAAGGTTTAGTCAAATTGCTCCTTGCTTTCAGGTTCTGTGATTGTTTGATTTCCAGCTTTCAGTTGGATCAACACCATAAGCGTTCATTTTTCTCTTTTTGAATTAATCTGCTGTTTTATCTCCCAACGTGTCTCAACTCGCATCCATTAGTGTATTTTCTGGAATCAGTTTCTTCTGACCAAATAGATCTTCTTTCTAATTTGTAGCTAACATTCGACCGATATCGCCCCTTTTTTTTTGTCATTCAAAACTTGTTCTTCCTGGTTTGGGAAAAACGATTTCAAATTAAAACTTCTAGTAACAGAGATTCAAATTTCCGGCTCCCTGACATCCAACGCTTGGTCCGTTTCTTGTCTCAATATGTCTTGTCTCAAGGACACGAAGAAGATACCGGAAGAGAAAACGGACAGGAAGACGAAAACTATTTTTGAAAAAAAAGCACTAGAATTTCTCTCATGCGATCGAATTTCAGCCTTTTCTTCCCGTTTTTTGCCTTCCTTGACATCTTCTGTCACGAAAAACAACAAACAAATTAATTGTTGCAAGAGTGAGCTCTCACTACTACTACCATCATCACAGGAGCAGCAGGAGCACCATAAAAGGTAGAGTCAGCGAATTGAAAAGAGCTGGTGATTCATAATGCGCATTGTTTGGTACGAGGAGCATTTGACTTGTCCCATTTTCTACCTCAACACTTGAATATATCAAAGATCCAAAGCACCGGATGCTGCGTTTTCTCGTCTCATTCAGGTGTCTCAATTGTTATTTTTCTTCTTCTGCCCATGTGTTACATATGTTCTTGAAAACGTATTTATTCTAATAATGTCGTTAAGGGTTTCCTTTACTTAGAACCCGTTAGTATCCTCAAAATCTGAATCAGGTACAAACACAAAACATTTTTGAAAATAACGATTTTTGAAAATTTCCCGGCTTGAACATATCATTTTATGGAATTCTGTAAAATGCCGTCGTAAACTTTGAGCCAATTTTTCTCGGTTCCTGTGAATGATAAAAAAAATGGTGAACTGGGAAAATACTTTTAAAGTAATGATAATCGTTTTTCCCGAAATGAATTTGCTCATAGTTTACGTTCAGTCTATCAAAGTGTTTACGTTATGAGGTTCTGATATTTTTTGATAACTACAGAAATACCAAAGTAATGTATTATCATAATATGCTTTTTAGCGTGTAAGTCGCTTCTCCGAGTTTCGGTATTCTTAATAGTTTTGATAATAGAAAAGCTTGTAATTAATGACACTTTCTGAACCATTCTGGTTAATTCGAATTAATTTAAGTAATCTTACTTCTTCCTTGTTGTTTCTTCTTTCAGTGTTCATCTTTCTTGTTTTGAAAAGAACCGAACACATAGACCAACAACATCAAAAGAAGAGGAGGAAGAAGAAAAAAATAATTGTGGTGGTATTAAAGGAGGCCAGGCACCAGAAAAAAAGTTTTCCTGATATTTTGCATAGAGAACCCCCATGAGGGGTTGAACTCATGGCAGGCATCTCAGGGGCACAGCGCCGCTACCGGCTGAGCTACGGGGGCGCGAAGGCGCCTGACGACCGATGGTCTACATAAGCGCGGCGCGATTTCGTCCCCCGAACTGCCCCCGAAATTTTTGCTGTCTCGCCTCCTTTAAGCGCGTTTCATTCAAACCACTCAGTTGAGAGCCACTTCGAGTAGAGCTTAGAGCGCAAAATTGTTTCTCTGGTAGGTTGGGCTTTTAATACGACTACAGGAAATTTCTATCGTATTTTGTTCGCGTGTAACTTTCCTCCAAAATCTGTCAAATCTTTGAATTCGATTTGTTTAAAACTTCGCATAAGCCATCTCATTTTGCACTAAATTGTCTGTACACATCAGAAATTCTTGTTTTTTTTTCTTCCAAAGGCATGTTTGGTTTAGCAGAATTTTCAGATTCTGTGAAAATTCTGCAGTTTCTAGTTTTCAGAATCTATAGTTCCAGTTTAGTACATTTTGCATTATTCATAATCAGCCCATCCCACTTCAAATCATGCTGATTAAATCACAATTCAAAATTGATTTTTCTCATCATTTTTTTCTGGGATGCACCAACAAAAAATGATAGGAAGAAAGGAGAGAAGAGTCTCGATCATATAGAAAAAAGAAGCTCTTTTTTG